AAACAATTTCAGATATATTGCATAAATATAAGAATGTTTTCTCTAAGCACAATTTTGATATAGGATACATAAAGACTAACCCAATTTGCATATCTCTTTTAGATAATATTCCCATAGCACAAAAGCCATATAGGACATCTTTTTACAATAATGCTGAAATACAAAAACAAATAACTGAATTATTAAAATATGATATTATTAGACCCTCATCTAGCCCCTATAGTTCTCCTGCATTATTAGTGAATAAAAAATCTGATAACCCAAATCACCCCACAAGACTCTGTATAGATTATAGGAAACTTAATCAAAAAACAGTTCCAGAACATACCCCAATTCCACTTATAGAACAAATTATAGATAGGTTATCACAGTCAAAAATATACACTATTCTAGATGTTAAAAATGCATACTGGCATATACCCATAGATGAAAAAGATAGACATAAAACCTCCTTTGTAACACAATTAGGATGTTATGAATGGAACAGACTTCCATATGGTCTAAAAAATGCACCTTCACAATTTGAAAGGATTATGAAGTCAGTTTTCACTAAGCATAATATACACTATGCCTTAAATTATTTTGATGATATTATTATACACTCTAAAACTTATGAAGAACACATTAAGCATTTAGATGACATATTAGGTATATTCGAACAAGAGGATATAAATCTGAATCTCAATAAATGCAAATTTTTACAAAAAGAAATACAATTCTTAGGATACACTATTAACTCAGGAAAATATACACCAAATAACACAAATATTGAAGCAATTTTAAAATTAAATAGACCATATAATATTAAAACCTTACAGAGATTTTTAGGCACCATAAATATTTATAATAAATTTATTCCCCATTATGCGCAAATTAGGGCACCTTTGAATGAACTTTTGTTAAAAAATGCTCCTTGGCTATGGAGTGCGAAACATGAACAAGCCTTCCAAACACTTAAAAATGCACTCATATCACAGCCTGTACTATATATTTATGACCCATCAAAACCATGTCATTTATTCACAGACGCGTCAAGTCTAGGAGTAGCAGGAGTTCTTAAACAACCAGATGAACAAGGCATTTTACACCCCATAGGTTATTTTTCAAGAAAACTTCACCCATATGAACAGAATTATACTGCCTCAGAAATTGAAACATTAGCTATCATTAATTCAGTACAAAGGTTTCACACATATCTACACAACATACATTTTACCTTGCACACAGACCACTTACCTTTAAAATGGATCAAAAATGTAAAAAACCCACATGGTAGATTATTTAGATGGTCTTTAATCCTATCTCAATATAGCTTTGACATAAAACATATTAAAGGATTAAATAATATAGAAGCAGACATGCTGTCAAGAGCACCTATCTCATTTTACCTAACATATAATGAGTTAAAAGAACACCAATCAACTGAACAAATTAGTAGTGCTAAAATTAAAATTCAAAATGGCCTCTACATTATAAATAGAAAGGGTTTTAAAAGAGCTTATGTACCACAAACACTAAGACACAAATTATTAAGCAAAGTACATACAAAGCATGGACATATTGGAACAACTCAAATGACTAAAATAATTTCTCCTCACTATTATTGGTCACATATGACTAGAGATATTGCTAATTACACCAAACATTGTGAAACTTGCCAGTTTAACAAGTCTAGGGATAACAGAATTGTTTATGGACCACTACAACAGATGCCAATAGCTACACACCCAAATCACATTTTTTCTCTAGATACATTGGGCGGGTTACATAATTATGGGACAACAAGACACAGTATCCATATGATAGTAGATCACCATAGTAGATTCCTTTGGGCTTTTCCAACAAAATCTGTATCAACTGATTCTTATATAACTTGTTTGAGAAATTTATTCCAAATTAATAAACCAGAAATATTAATAACTGACAGAAATGCAGCTTTTCTTAGCAGAAAATTTAAACACTTTTTAGAAAGAAATAATGTTAAGCATCTACTCACCAGTTCCCATCACCCAGAAACAAATGCAAAAGTAGAAAGACTAAATTCCACTATCATTAATAGGTTAAGATGTGAATATAATGCTAATTTAAAGATTCCTTGGACAAAATATATTCCTAAAATTACTGAAAGCTATAATGAAACAGTACATACCACAACAGGCTTTACACCTAAATTCTTATACTATGGAATACAACCACAGTATATAGAACATGACACAGTAACACATACACCAATAGAAAAGGCAAGAAAATTAGCCATTGAAAGAACCATAAAATCCCATGAACACAGCAAACAACTTTATGATATTAAACACCCAGAACCCATTTTTAAAGAAGGAGATCAGGTATTAGTAAAAACCTTTATTTATCCAAACACTGGTAAATTAACACAAAGATATATAGGCCCATTTACTATTTTAAAACAACTTTCTCCAGTCACATATGAAATAGATAAGCCTAATATACCCCAAAGAAAACAAACAGAAATTATACACTCAAATAAGCTTAAATTATTTTACCCAGAAACAGATTTTTTACTTCACTATAGCACTAACATAGAAAATGACTTTATAGTAAACCAAAATTCTAACACAAAGTTAATAGATATTGATGATAAACCATGTTTTTTACAGGAAGGCCATATTTTGGACATGGACAATAAAGAACAAATTTCAGCACCAATTCTTAAGCCTTCACAAATAACTTAATGTCACTTCATACATCTATTAGCGTTTCACTACTCAACCATGTAAAAATAACATTTTCTACGCTTTTGATATTTTGAAGTGTACCTAGCATAATGTAACAATTACTCAAATTTAAATACCTTTTTTGCTTCATATACATTTTTGATATATTTCGCTCATTAATATTTCTTATATATACTTTTATTATAATTTCATAATTATATAAATTATTTGTAAACAAACTTTCTTTTGTTTATTATGAAAAAATGTGCGTATTGATTTTTATTGTTTCATTTTTAATTATTTCTAAAGATTTATTGATTTCGTTTAATTAATTATTTTAATTACCAATTTTATTTTAAAATTTTATTTTTTTAGAATCTTTTCACAGGGGGGAAATATTATATAATCTAAAAATATTATATTATCTAAAAATATTATATAATCAAAAAACCTCAAATATTTCTATATTTTAAAAAATATATACTTTATTTTATTCATTGATAATTTTATTTTTTGTTATCATCGTTTTTAGAAAGACTTTTAGTTTAGTTGTTTAGTTTCGTTGTATAATTTTGTTGTAAATATGCGTAGTTAACCAATCAATCCTTTTAAATCACTAATATAGGATTAAATTATAAATTCTATATAATGTGAAAACTAACAAATGTGTAATCTTTCCTCAAGTAATTGAAAATAAAAGCTACTTGACGGTAAATATTTATTTTTTTTATCACGACTGCACCTCAACCCTTTATCTTATCGATCCTTTGTCTTATCAAGCCTAATTTAACAACAACACAAAATATTCATAACATATATATAGAACTAGCGGATGTACCCGGCTTCGCCCGGAGTTTTACCCGAGTTAAGGTTTGTCTAATGAACATTTGTTAAAACAATTATCTATAAACTTATTTTTAAAAAATAGATATATTTTGATAATTTGAAACTCGTAAATTTGAATCTCTCGATAAAGTGAACATTTTTTTCCGGTCCCTGTGTGCCAAGGTCATCCTGAATTTTGTCTTTCCTAATTTTCTACATTACAAAATCATCGTTTTTTCTAGTGAACATTTTTCCCGGTCCCTTGAAAAATACTCGATAAGTTGAATAAAATCAATATTAATTGGTTCCCTCAGTAATTGGAAGTTAAAGGAATAGTATCTTCGCCTTGGAATTGTATCATTATTCTTGTCTCAAATAAATTGCCGTGTCATCCTGAGATAATCTTACTTTTGATAAATAATCTTTAAGATAATAAACTTAATGATAATAAAACTTATAGATAAAAAAACTTGTTATCATCGTCGCAATGGTGGCGCTGCTTGCGAGTTAAATCTACAAATCTGCAAATAACTCTAAGGATATACAAGATATTCCAGAAATTATTTTTCAAAAACCTTCCCGGGGATATACCTAATAATATACCAAATTTTCACGGCGATTGGATGTATGGTTTTTGAATCTATAGAGTACACACAGACAGACATTCAATTTTATATATATAATAGACTAGACGAATGACCCGGCTTCGCCCGAGAATTCTCCCGAGTGCAATTACCTTCATACTGAAAGTAAATCAATAATAAATAGTAGAAGTGGCATAGAATAGCAACACAGAAGTAACACATAAACCACAGGCAAAAGGTGTGTGTGATGGCAAAAAATGTATTATATTAGTGTTTAGGTATTTGATTTAATTATTTTTTGCAATGCATTTAGTTGTTTCAAAATCAATATAGTTTAAATAGATGGCAGCTTTTCCACCCAACCCCCGCGTACCCGCCCCAGCGCACTAACACTTGAAATTGCCTGAGTTGAGTGAGTGACTACGATGGATATTGACTGCGATGCCCATCTTCTCAGTAAAAATAAGAAAAAATAGGTTTATAAAAAATATTAATCCAAAATACTGGAATATAAATATTTTTCTGTAAAAAATAAAGAGCACGTGGAAATTAGGCAGACATATGTGTTTGCTAGTGACTGCGACTGCATTTTAAACGATTTAACAAAAAGAGAGATAAAAAACAAAGGCCAGAAAAAATAATAAAAAATAAGAAAGTGATTATTTACATACAGTAACGCTAAATTTGTAAAGTTTTTTTTTTTTTTTGATTGTGTGCACTTAGGGTAACTTGACACGTGACTTAACGTGACAGAATTGATGACTCTGATGCTTGTATATATGATTATGTTAGCATAATGAATTAGTCAGTATTCCCATGGTCTCCAGCGAAGAGGTGTGAATTGACTTTTTGAAAATATACATAATTATAAAGATAGAAGCTTCTATAGAAATAACTCAAATAAGCCGAAATAGCTCAGTTGGGTGAGCGTTAGACTGAAGATCTAAAGGTCCCTGGTTCGATCCCGGGTTTCGGCATCTTTTTTTTATATTTTATTTTTTTTAAAACGATGACAGAATTGATGACTCTGATACTTGTATATATGATTTTTAAATTTTTACTTACCGTAACTTGACACGTGACAGAATTGTGCATGACTCTGATAGCTGTATATATTAATAGATTTAAATATTAAAAATATATATTATAACATACACTGCGTGACATTGAAAATGGAACACCAAGAAATAGTGGCCAGAAAATTATGCAAATTTCAGGGTAGACGCGCCTAACCGAGTTATGCAAATGATGTAAAATGCGCAGCTCTCGTGCGCACATGGAGTAAGATATAAGGGAAGGAACTTGCAGAAAGGACAGTATTCGTGTCGTTATTTCTTCAAGGAAAATCATTGTAGAAATTTTGTTCTTGTGTCAAAACACACGTGTAATAACAGAGAATGCCAGGTCATCGTAAACGGAGGCAGTTCAAGCAGACAGACGCTTTTACGAGGGGCATGGTGATCGGACTGAAAAGGGCAGGTTGGTCCATACGTCAAATTGGTGCACCGACTGTGGAGAAGATGGTTGGAACAATGAAATGTGGCAATTTATAGGAATGCCGGTGCAACCAGAGTGACGTCAGCACGTGTGGATCGGCGTATCCTTCGACAAGCAGTGGCGGCCCAAAAGGCACTTGTACCGCCATCCTGCAACATGTGCAAGACACCCTAGATCATTCCATCTCGACCAGAACTATTTCCCGTCGATTGGTTGCTAATGGCTTGCACTCATGCCGTCCGCTAAGAAGACTGCCATTGACCCCACCGTATAGGCGCCAACGTTTGGAATGGTGCCGGGCTAGATCGACGTGGATGACGGAATGGCACAGGGTCGTGTTCTCAGATGAGTCGCGTTTCTGCTTGTCCAGTGTTAGTCGCCGTGTACGCGTGTGGCGTCGACGTGGAGAAAGGTCCAATCCGGCAGCAATTGTGGAACGCCCCTACCGTGCGACAACGTGGAATCATGGTTTGGGGCGCAATCGCGTATGATTCCAGGTCACCTTTACTTTGTATTCAGGGCACTATGACGGCCCAACGATACTTTGATGATGTGCTGCGACCGGTGACACTCCCCTACCTTCAGGGGGTACCCAATGCCCTTTATCAGCAGGATAACGCGCGACCGTACACTGCTCGCATTAGCCAACAAGCTCTGCAAGATGTACAGATGCTTCCCTGGCCACCGTACTCTCCTGATCTCTCACCAATCGAGCACGTCTGGGACATCATTGGACGCCGTTTGCATACCTTGCCACAGCCGCGTTCAGAAGACGAACTGTGGCAAATGGCTGAGAGGGAATGGAGAGCCATCCCTCAGGACGCCATCCGTACTCTGATTGACTCTCTACCTAGACGTGTTGCTGCGTGCATCGCCTTCCGCGGTGGTCCTACTTGCTACTAAGCCGGCGCCGTTCTCGCTCTGTATTATGACTATCATTTTGAAATAAAAAGCACTTATTGTTCCTCCCTGTCTCTCTCTGTCTGCCGAGTTTCATCACTTTCTGGCCACTATTTCTTGGTGTTCCATTTTCAATGTCACGCAGTGTATTATAATCTAAATGCATTTCTACCTAACATAAACATCTTCATAAAATAGTAACAACAATGACTCATAGGGGCGCAACTTTGTTTACAGCGGCAACGGTAATTTATATACATTGCAACAGACACAATGGAGTTGACTAGAGAAAGTTTACGCGCTATGATCTTTTATGATTATAAAACTAATTTAATTTCAAAATAATCTCATGAAATATTGTGACGAAAGCTTTATGAGATAAAGAACCCTTTATTAGAACAGTTTTAATTGGTTTAATGAATATAATTTGGAAAAAAAAAAATCAACCTTGAAGATGAACCTCGTTCAGGTGACCACCAGCAGCAGTGACAAAAATAAAAATTGAGCTGGTAAGAATTTTACTTAGAAAGATCGAAGAATTACGTTTCAGAAGTTATAGAAAAGTGTAGGCATTGGTCGGCAGAAAACAACACCATCATTACTGGTCGTTTAAAATACAGAAAACTTGTTAGTAGATGGGACCTCACAGCTTGACTGAAGACCAATATGCGTTATGCAATCGATCCCTCGGGTAAAAACCGGGAGTACATTCGCTTGTTTTAAATAATATTGTCAACTATATGAATAGAAATATGCAAATATGAGAATGGCAGGAAAATATATTTTATTACAAAACAGTTAAAACTAGTATAATATTAGACGAATGACCCATTCAGCGCGAACAGGTCTACAATCACAGCTATTCCTATATATTTATTTTTATAAGCTTTGCCTTAATATATCTAAAGAATAAGTATGTACAAAAGAGACTCAGTGTTTTTCGCTAATAAATTCAAGTAGCTTTACCTTATATAAATTAACGTGAAAAATTCTAATCAAGACATTATGTTTAATTCTTTATATATTCTAGAAATATATATGATGAGACCTATCATCCGGCATTCCCAAATTTATATGACTTATATAAAAGACTAGCGGATGTACCCGGCTTCGCCCGGGTTTTACCCGGGTAAAGGTTTGTCTAACGAACATTTGTTAAAACAATTCTCTATAAACTTATAAAAAAAGAAAAAATATATATTTTGATAATTTGAAACTCGTAAATTTGAATCTCTCGATAAAGTGATCATTTTTCCCCGGTCCCTGTGTGCCGTGTCATTCTGAATTTTGGCTTTCCTAATTTTCTACATTACAAAATCATCGTTTTATATAGTGAACATTTTTTCCCGGTCCCTTGAAAAATACTCGAAAATAATAGATATATTTTGATAATTTGAAACTCGTAAATTTGAATCTCTCGATAAAGTGATAATTTTTTCCCGGTCCCTGTGTGCCGTGGCATTCTGAATTTTGGCTTTCCTAATTTTTTACATTACAAAATCAGCGTTTTATCTAGTGAACATTTTTTCCCGGTCCCTTGAAAAATACTCGAAAATAATAGATATATTTTGATAATTTGAAACTCGTATATTTGAATCTCTCGATAAAGTGACCATTTTTTCCCGGTCCCTGTGTGCCGTGTCATCCTGAATTTTGTCTTTCCTAATTTTCTACATTACAAAATCATCGTTTTATCTAGTGAACATATTTTCCCGGTCCCTTGAAAAATACTCGATAAGTTGAATAAAATCATGGTCGTTTATGGAAGATGGACGTAGTTCCCGGAGGTCACCCGCGAGGCTTTTTTCTTGTCTACATTGCACAGCTGTGTAACCAACTCTGCCTCCGCGCGCCAGGACCTCTTGATCCCTCTGATTGGTCGGTGGGAACTTTGGCCGGCGGCCGGACTACATTTTCTCGGTGGAGGGGGGGGGGGGGCAGACCTAAGCCTATCTCCGTCGCAAGGTGGCGCTGCTTGCGAGTTAAAGCTACAAATCTGCAAATAACTCTAAGGATATTTAAGATTTCCAAGAAATTATTTTTCGTAAACCCTTCCGGGGATACACCTAATAATATCACAAAATTTCACGGCGATTGGATGTATGGTTTTTGAAACCATAGAGAACACACACACAGAGACATTCAATTTTATATATATAAATTATTAATACCTTCTCTGCAAATATGCACTTGATTCAATGGATCTCTAAAATGTAAACCTAGCTTGCTGTTTTGGTAAATTACCGAGGTATTATCTAATTTTTTAAATGAGAGCTTATTTGAAGTTTTGATTAATTAATTTATTAAGTTTTGAGTTGAAATATTTCTCACACACAAAGAGAGAATGGTCCTAATAACTTGGTCCTCATTTTCGGTTTTTCAAACTTTGAAATAACGCCCGCGCGCGCGCGGCTCTCTCTCTCAAAGCAACATTAACTTCCGATTCCACGGGTTTTAATCTATTTACCCTTTTGTAAAATATAAACTGTCCCGGTGATAATTTCAAATTAAATTCCAGTAATCAATCACCTTTCTGAAGATGGCTATTACATTGCAAGGGAGAGTTGAGACAATGCATCAAGTTTTGGCTATCCTGTTCTCAGTATCTGAAATTTTGTGATTCAAAGATCTCACAAGAGTATCCATATGTCTCATAATTTATTTATCAGAGGCACCCGAATTGACCAAATGGGATTTGACTTCAGAATTATAACTCCACCTTGGTGCTTTCATTTATAGGCGCGTCAGGTCTTGTTCCATACCCAGAGTCTTATATTATAGAAATATCTTGTTGTTTCACGTTATGCTTCTTGTTGCTACTGGCATACTTGGAATTGCGCGATTTTCTTGTGAAATGTTTAATCTTTCTTTGTTAATACTTGCGGATATAAATAATGGTTACCAAAATATTTTAATTTTTGATTAGCTTAGATTTTCCTGGAGCGTACAGAATTTGCCAAATACCTGCAACATATTTTGTGACCAATAAATAATTTGAAAAAATAAATTTTAATTTTTTGTATATTTTGAAATATATATATTTAAAAAATCAAAGAGCGAAAACAGATTATTTATTTTTGAATTCATAATTTTGTCCTATATATTTGTCGTTCAATGTTCTCTCTTTAGCTGTAAATAATTAATTAATAATTGTTGACTATTGGGCTGAGACGCTATTAAAAAACTCGTAATATTTGAATACCCAACTTCCTACAATATTAACTCTCTACGTTACAATATATTAAATTTTACCCTTCAAAAATAGAATTGTGAAAGACATATTAAAACTAGGCATCTATATAAAATTAGAAGGAAAAATGGATTTGCTAGAAGCGATAATTAATGGTAGCTCAGTTGAATATATAAAGAATCTAATAGAAGCTGGGGCCGATATCAACCAAAAATATCAGGAGATTTCCCCAGAGGAGGATATTACCCCCGTGATACATGATGAGGATTTTGATCCCACCGAAGAACCTCAGCAAGACGATACTCCATTGCATCTTGCTATACGTTATGGAAATTATGATCTGTTCAGATTTTTAATAGAAAATGAGGCGGATATAGAGGCAAGAAATTG